ATCTAGCTGGCACCGCCCCTGCTCTTATTTTGGCAGACCTGCTCTGGGCTGTTTAGGCACAGCGGAGTCAAAGGAACAAAGAGACACACAGAAGCCAAAAGATAACACCAGAAATGAAGACCACAACACCAGTGGATAGCTTGGGTTCCTTTATCTATGGTCTAGGAGCACCAGATCACTTCCTCGCCCCCCCCCAAAAAATATTTCCACTGGTGTTAAAAAGACATTGTAAAAGGCATTCCTCACAATGAAAAAAGTCAAGAGGTTAAAAGAGAAAGTTTTCCACCTTGTAAGTGTCAGTCAAGAAGGGAACCCTCCCCTGCCAGTCTGGTGACTTGAGTTTACCAACCTTCTTTTTCTGCTACAGGCAACACACACACACACACACCACACACAAACACACAAAGAGAATGCATTCTTGCAGATTAACTGTAACTTGTGACACCATATACTCTATGTGGCCTAATTTGACTCCAAAACACCCCCTCATGATAAATCTGCTTAGCCACGTTGAATCATTAAGGATCATTCCAGTAATCAGTGTCGTCTGTTACAGGTAGTTCTTGGTATCACATCGTCTATTTGAAAGAATTAAGTCTCTCCAGTCTCAATCATATTCTCAATACTGAATACTAGTCCTGTTTACGCCTGCCATGAGGGTCGCAACGACCTCAGGTCGGCTGGTCCTGACTTTCAGTCCCGACTGAGATATGGATAACATGCTGAAACTAAGATTGTGAACACGGTAAAACAGATTACACATACTTAACATCAGCATGTTACTGTGAGCATGTTAGCACGCTGGACATTAGGCATTTAGCTCAAGTTCTTCATGACAGGAGAGCCTGTTAGCATGTAGTCTGTTTACACTCGCCGTTTGGAAATAAATTTAAAAAACAGGCAAAATTATGGGACATAAATACAACAAATAAACGGCAATTAAACATAAAATCAGATGACAAAGGATGACAAATACCAGCCTCAATAAAAACCAGAACCACAGCGACACCGGCTTCAGTGATCACAAGGAGGAAGGTGTGTGGCTCTATGAATCTACCACTTCTGGGTTCCGACTGATTCCTATCTTAACCAAATGGAGAAACATCGTGTATTAAGGAGTGTATTAAACTTGAGCTAACTTTTCTTTTGCTTCCCTCATTTCTACTCATCAGTCTCACAATGAAGAAGCCCCATCACTGCTGGAGACACCCAAATGTGTTTACTTACTCAACATCATCAGCCTGTGGCCTGACAGTGTCCTGGAACATTGCATGCTCTGTTCCAAGTAACAAACTCCGCTGTTTTGCTTGGCCTTCAGGTGTTCCCACAGAGAGGGTTATTCAGGTAAAATTCAGTTCAGGCAATCTCTGCATGTGTCATAAAGATCTGCCCTCCCACAAGACTGGAAAATGATGTGTCACTTTGTTAGCCGAGTGGTGTGTGTGGTGTGTAGTGTGTGTGTCGTGTTGTGTAGATGGTATCACATTGCCCGAGGGCAGCTCTGAAAGGGTCTCTGATAAATGAAACTGCTCTGGCCTCTGTTGTCTTTTGACATTCACACTTTCACACACTACGTTCACCCCATAAACACCACACTGGAGCTTGCTCCCCAGCACAATGGCCTCCTGCTGACTGTGGTTTGGACGCAGAGGAAAACCGGTTAGGCAGCTCAGAGCAATTAATGGTGTGTGTTGTGTGTTGTGTGTGTGTGTGTGTGTGTGGTGTGGTGTGGGGTGTGTG